CCCCTGTAACCAAAAAAACCTCTGCCTGAACCAGAATTGGGACGAGGAAAATTAGGATCATATATTTTTCCTTGTGGAGCAGCCATAGCAGATGGATTGAAAAAGTTTGGGGATGATTTAGAAGATGCTAAAACAGAAATTTTTTCTGCCTTCAACATAGAATGAACATCCTCTAGAGAAAGAGGCTGAGATCTAGTTCGAATTGCTGAGGCACTATATTCAGGTGGTAAACCATTGAGTGTATACAATAGTATATCCACATCTTCAATCATAACCGAAACTGCTTGAAGCTTATCTCTAGCCTCTTTGATTTTCTGCAAGTAAATATCAATGGAATCTGAACCTTTGGTGATAGTTTGAAGCAGAGACTTAAGTTGTAGAATATTAGCTATGGATTGAGATGAAAATCTTCTTTCCAGTGCAAACCATACATCCTGAGATGTAGTATAGCCAACAACATGTGCAATAGCAGAGGAAGAGAGTGTGGCATTAACAAGCGTCGTAAGAGCTTGATCTTGAATAATCCACTGTTGATATTGTGGATTGATCTCTGTAGTAACAGCTCCAGCCTCATCAAGTATATATTTAGATGGACAAGGAAATGATCCATCAAGAAAATCAAATAAAGAATGAGCTCGTAACAAAGCTGAGATCTGAAATTTCCAAGAGACGTAATTGGAAGAATCAAGCCAAAAAGAAATAAGATTGCAGATATTGGAGAGAAAGTAGATAGGTGAATGTGAGGAAAAAGAAACTGTAGTTGAAGGTGTAGATGAACAGGTAGAACATGAAGAAGAATTAGTAGAAGCTGCCATCAGATCAGACGTTTGTCTTTGAAGATCACTCTGATACCATGATAGATTTCATAGAAAGCTTGGAGAAGAAGACAGAGGCACACAGAGAAACTAAGAGAAACAAATATTTTTCATACATATTTTTAGTTCAGTATACAAGTATTTATAGCCAATCTTAGTTACAATGCCAGCTAGGACTTACTAACTAAGAGACTGTCTTGTAGGCAAGTGGCTTCAGCAACTGAATCCAATGCAGTCACATGACAGTGGAAATGCTTGTGTGTAGTGCTGGTATTGTGTTATAAGAGAGAGTCAAACAAAACATAGTTACGTTCTTTTCACAATTCTTTTCACAAATCTGTTGAGAGAGACAGAGAGAAGGAGCAAAGTGGCTAGGATTGTGAAAGAAGAAGAATTCTAGAAATACCGGATTTAGATTCCACTAATGGTTTTTTTTCTTCATTTTTTTCTTTCATAGATAATCGATGAAGTACTACTAAGAGGTGTAGACTTATATACATCGAGCCTTATTTAAATTTATAATATATTTTTCTTTGTCTCGGAAAGTAAAATTTTTATATTGATCAAAATAAAAAGACAGAGATGTACATACTACATAAGTGATTCCTAACAAAACAATGGATATCACTTTCTCTACAGAAGTGATCGTAGAGAAACAAACAAAGCCTAATAATAGAAGTATAGTAGAATTTTTGTTGATTCATCTTAGTCATTCATCTTTTAGGACTCGTTGATAGACGTATTATGAGAAACTAAATATTGGATTGTATTATTTTTTAATTAATTGGGCCTAATATTTTATTTGATAAATAAATTTGATACCGTATTAATTTCAAAAACGTATACTAATCGTATATTTTTTATGCGATAAACTTATATTATGGAGGTATTTTAATATCACCAAGAGAGATAGTATTATAATCCAACTCAAACTTATTATTCTACATATTTACTATTATAATCCTCAAATGATAAAATCAAGTTGTCGTCAATTTAACAAATACTGATTAAGGGTATTTTTGTCAATTCAACATTAATACTATGAAATAATTTCCTAATCAAACAACCGATTAGATTAAATAAATATGCAATCAAACAAGCCCTTAGTGTATAATGTACTAATAAAATAAAATAAAATTACAAGTACAACATTCTCACTGATTGAAAAAAAAAAAAAATTCTCACTGATTGAATAAAAGAGATGGACCCTATACTTGTTTTGCATGAAACGAGTGGTCCAAGTATTTTCTGCCAATAGCAAATAAGACACGTATAGAATTTCTATATTTTTGTTTTTTTTTATTTTATTATTTTCACAATCAACCATAAATAAATCAAAACGAAATCTACAGCTCGTAAAGATTGATTTTTAGTATCATCCAGTAGCTAATAATTGAAGGTAAGCGTGTCATTCTCAACATTATTGTGCTTCTCGAGTGTCGACAATATTTTGGTTGTGACAAGTCTAAGACAATTAATTTGGGTGCAACGATCTTGGCACCTACACCTTGTGCAAGGGGGATCATATGGCCCTACCCAAAATTCCTCCCATCAGCTGCCCTTTTCCTGTCTTGGCGTCAATCATGTCGTATTCGTATGATTCGCATGTTATGTTACTCATATCGTATCATTGTTATTTGTGTCGTATTCATATTAAGATTAAAAAAAAAATTATTTAATATGTTTTTAGTATTAAACATTAGTCTACACTATTTATTATGTGTATCTAAAAATCGTGTTAATGTTATAATTGTTTATGTCGAATTCATAGGTTTGAATTTCAGTACCGAAAAAAGAAAAGATATGGTTCCTAAATTTATAATTTTTTAGGTTCAATATGCTAAATTTTAGATCTAGTTACAAAAATAAAATAAGATCGATCTCAAACGCCACAGGCCCCCAAAAAGCTGTATTTTGCTAATGAAACCCAGAAGAAAAAAAATTGGTACCATAGACTTTATCTTAGATTCATTTATCATGAATTTAAATATGATCTGATGGGAAAGACTATGGTACCGATAAAAAAAATTCGGTACCATATCGTAAGTTGCTATTTTATTAGATCAAATTATACATATTAAAGATTAAATTATAATTAATTGATGTAATTTATGATGATCAATTATGAAATATTGCAATCGATTATGAACACCTCTGATCGGTTGTAACTTCACCTTTAAAATGCGTAACTTAACCTTTAATATATATATATATATAAGACACTTATTGCAGAATCAAGCATGAGACTCTCACTATTGCAGAATCACAAAAAATATAAAAATTTAAAAAAGTGGATGAATTAACTTTCTTTTCGACTCATCAAAATCAATCCCTCTAAAATCAGAAGGAATGTGAATATAAAGTTAATTATTTGTGTTGGGATATATCTTTTTTGTCTATATATTTTTTAATAAATACATATATTATGTATACATTAATTTCATATAAAAATACAATATATATATATTAGTCATAACCCGTGTCTGAAGGCACGATAAAATATAAAATTCGAGCGTCCAAAAAATTGATCGCATTATATTAAATTTTTTCAAAATATATTAACTATAAATTAATTAAATATTAAATATGTAATAGAAATGAGTTATGTGATATTTTTAGGAAGGAAATATATAAATGATTAAATATGTGATAGAAATAAGTGATGCGATTTGATGATTGAGTCTGACAAAGGGATGATGGGTGAGGGGTAAGTGATTGGTGATAGTTTTGAGAAAAAAAATATGACTAGGATAAAATTCAAACACACTCCTGTTTTATTAAGAAAATATTTTTTCATCTTAACTAGGGGCAAAAATTTTTGATTCAACAATATAACACGACTCAAACTCGACACAAATTTTATGACACGAACTTGATTATAACGTGACAAACTTAAAAATGACCTAACACGGAAACAAGAAATATAAATATCTTATATTTAGTTCAATTAATCAAATTCAAAATTAACCTCAGCAACCTGTTCATTCAAACTTAAAATTGACGTCATCAACCCCTCCCTTGGGTAACTAAAGCCCAGTCGGCCACCTCCCTCTGGTTTTCAAAGCTCATTTTGTAAACAAGCAAGTTGTTTTTGTTAATACAATACATGGCCTTCCTTGACAATTTTAGAACTTCATAATTATTGAAGATTTTGTTAGTATCCAATTGTAAGTAAAAAAAAAAAGCCTCCCTTGCACAAAATTCCCGTCACTGTAAGTTCAGGGAGGGTCAAACTCTGCAGTTTAATTTATACTACAAACAAATGAAGATCCGAATAGAATAACTACAATAACTATAAAAATTCAAATAGGTCGAATGCTAGAAAAATTCCAACAACAAAAACTACAAATTTTATTATTAAACCATGTCAACTGACGTTCTATTGTATTCAAAATTCAAATCAAATATTTAGATCCAAATAGCAATAACTCAATGAATAATAACTCGTACAAGAACAAGATTACAATCAATACACACTGTAAGGGGTAGAAATCGCTACGGATTTCAGCCCTCTACTCGAAGGATTCCGGTTGACCTGGCGGCACCGAGCCCTAGTAGCCTTTACTCTCTTCGCCCGCAGAAGCTTGTCCCACATCAGAAGAAAGTCGTCTCCCCTCGTAGCGATTTCTATCCCTTGCACACACTATAAAAAGTACAAAAACATCCAAAGAGGCGTGTGAAATTCAAATAGGTCGAATACTAAAAATGCAATGTGCACCCAAAATCTTTGCAACAAATGATGTGGCACAACTATAAGTGTCGGATCTCTATTAGTTGTAAAAAGAACTGGCTAATTGTTTGGACATAAGAAAATTATCCGTCAATGGAGATATTTTCGTAGATCTCAACAGATTTTAGAACAACAATAAATTTAACAATCCACGTTAATTTGCAGTAAGAAATTAAATAAAATAATAATTTGACCAATCACCGCATTAAACAATAGAATCGGCTAGATAAAGAATAAATCAATCCTCATCAAGTATAGACCCACTTGAGAAAGTCAGTGGCGGGCCCTATGGACTCTGGATTGAGAGTTTTTTTTTTAAAAAAAAAAAAAATTTGTCTGTTGATTAGATAGTTTTTTGAGTTTTTTTTTTTTTTTGTTAACAGAATAGTTTTTTGAGTTGAAACACACTTATTTATAGAGCAAGGTGGTTGCCTTAACTCCAACACAGCTTGAAGCACCATTCCAGGCTACTGTCCCTCTCCTTGATTAAACCATTAAAAACATGTACTCTTTTGCTTCCATTTCTTCCTTTTCTTCTCTCCCTCCTTCTTCTCTTGCCATCGGCCGCCATGTCTTGCCATATCCGGTGGGGGAACACGGCATTGCTCGCTATACCATGTTACATGGGCCAAGACAATCGAGATCGCGCCACCCACATCATGTGATTAGTTTACAGTGGCGTGATCTTCTATCGCCACACGCCAATACATCACTAGGACGACCCATTCGTGTCAATATCAATATCGATCAAGACCTTAAACCATGCGTGGAAGATGAAAGAGCAATCAAATTGCCTAAATCGTATGCCATGAATGGAGGAGATGGAAATTATAGTTATGCTCAAAACTCATCTTATCAGGTAATATTCGTTTTCCATTTTAATTTTCACCATTATTATCTCTCATCCGAGAGGGTGGGGTGGGATGGGATAGGGAGTGCAAGTTTGCATGGGGCCGCTAGGTAACTAATAAGTTGCAGCTGTATGATAGACAGAAAAATTGATAGACAGAATAAAATATTGGGAATAGAATGAAATTTAAAAATCACAAAACTGCATCCGAACGAGTCACGATGACATAGATGACTCAGCCATCTACAAAGTCCTGAGTCGAGCACGAATCTCACTCAACCCATAATTTAGACTGAATATTATCGTGTCGAAACGTAACATATTCGGTCCAATACAACTAGATATCCACCACAAGTGATAGACATGTACTTAATGTATGCCTCCTAACGACCAGGATAGACTTTATGGGATGGTTCAGTGAAGACTTAAATTCAATGTCTTTCTTCTCTTTAAATGGACACACTTGAGGTTAGATAGCTAGATGTGATGAGATAATATTTTTTAAGGGCTACAAATGTTATTTATTAGCACGAACAGTATACGAACTCGAGAAGAAAAATTTTAAGCAAAAAATTTGACCTTTTTTCGAAATTAATATAATTGATTAACAAGAATATTAAATGAATCGTGTTAATATTAGACACAAATAACTCATTTAACCAGTATGTTTGAAGGAAAATAAGTGTTTTTTTGTATTTTTTTTTTCATTTCTAAATCTACTATTTTTAATTACCTTTGGAATTTAATAATTTTTTATTAACATATTTTTTGCCGAGAACCAAATTCATTGGGCTTGCTTGGAGTTGGCTTTTTTGGGTGCGAAACTGATTTTGAAAAGTGAAACGAAAAAGTCAGAATTAAAAAAATTCTTAGAATCATTTGTAATGTTTATGAAAAAACTGATTTTTCTTTTAAAGCCCTTGGATAAGCCCAATTTTTCGGTTTTTTCTTAGTAATGATAAAATTTGTTTTTGCTAAAAAAAATTAATGGAAAAGTCACCAATAAGCCCCGGTCACAGACCAACTAGACTTCTTTTCCTCCCAAATCAAATAAAAATGGAGGTTTTAAGTCAGTTCTGAAGATGATACGATAAGAATCAATTGACACTCGTAAAATTATTTAGTGAATCGATTAATATTGACCAATTTTTTTTCAGAGGGGAGCAGTGGATGCTGCGAAGGAACTCATTAAGGAAGGAGTTGCAGCGAAACTTGACATAAAACAGCTTTCTTCATCTTCTTCTATAAACCCATTTTGCATTGCAGATTTCGGGTGCTCTACAGGACCCAACACACTTCTGGCAGTGCAGGTCATACTTGAAGCCGTGGAGCAAAAGTTCAAATCAGAAAAACCAACAGCCCAACTCCCTGAATTTCAGGTTTATAAAATTAAATATAAAAAGAAAATTAATCAAAGAATTTAAGAACACGAAAGAATTACATTGTTCAGTATGGAAAACTTATATCCACGGACCAAAGTTTAGTAGGTTACATTACTAAGAAAAAGAGATTGATGTCCTAATTTTTTATTAGTAGTTGATTAGTAGTCTATTACTATTAATTAATTTAGGTTAAAATACACTTTTAGTTTCCAAAATATGTGTTTAGTGTTTGTTTGGTCCCCAATCTTCCAATTGTGTCTATTTGGTTGCTAGGGTTCTTAATTTATAATTAAGTGGTCCAATTCCAAACGTCCATAAGAAAATCGTGACGGTTCTGGTCATGCTCCAATTACGTGATTTTTAATTGTGTTTATTTGATCCTTAAAGTTATTAATTTATGTTTATTTGGTCCCATTTGATTGACGCATAACCAAATACATTAACAATTTTTTATGGATATTTGAGATTGGATCACATAGATACAGATTTGGAACTTTAGAGATTAAATAAACATAATTGGATAATTAGAGATCAAATAGACATTACACGCATACTTTAGGGACTAAAAATACCCATGATTCGTTGTCTCTCACTCATATTTTTCTTCCCTAAACATCCCTCCCTCACACATTCTCCTCAACTCACTCTCACACACCCTACGTGACCAACAAGGCACCAAAAATGTTTCACGTAAGCTTTATACACACACATTAAAGTGAGGACACATTATAAATTCTTGTCTTGGTTTGGTACTTAGATTAAATGGGTTATATTTATAATATAAAACATGACAGATTTCAATAAATTTATATGACGGTCTTAAATAGACTCATCTAACGACCACTAACTTCTCTCTTAAAACTATTCAGATTGAATTTCCTTCCAAATCTAGCAGTTCTCACTTACTGTGCCTTCAGGCACGAGTTATCCCTAGTTCCATATAAAGGATGAAGATAATCACATTGATATAAACAAGAATCTGAAATCTGTTTGGCATCATGTCACACTTGATCTTATCTTCAACACATGCAGGTGTTCTTCAATGACCATGTCCTGAATGATTTCAACACCCTTTTCCAATCTCTTCCACCTGAAAGACGATACCGTGCTGCCGGAGTGGCTGGCTCTTTCTACGGCCGAGTACTTCCCAAGGCCTCCCTTCACTTTGCTTTCTCCTCTTCTTCATTGTGTTGGATCTCCGAATTGCCGGAAGAGATTCTGGACAGTAACTCTCCGGCGTGGAATAAGGGAAGAATTCACTATACAGGAGCCAGAAAGGAAGTTTCTGAGGCTTATGCACTTCAATACGCAAAAGACTTGGAAGCATTCTTGCATGCAAGAGCAGAAGAGCTTGTGGGTGGAGGGCTAATGGCTCTTTTGGTTCCTGCTGTCCCTAATGTTATGACCTCTTCTGAGACAACCATTGGGACTGAGATCGATCTTCTCGGATCTTGCCTCATGGATATGGCCAAGATGGTAAGAAATATTTTCAAATTATAATTAATTAAAGTTATTTAGACCTAAAATTTGACTTAATCTATTGATCTCCTTATGTGATTTCATTATAACCGTTCGACACCAAACTATAATATTTTATGGGATTTACAATCAATCTAAGAGCTGAATTAGAGCATCACCGGTCCTTATAATTTTTAGACCCAAATTTAAAAAAGGGTAACAAGAGACCAAAAACCTTCTCGAGTCCTATACCTAAACATATAACAAATGAAGAGAGACTTTATTTTAAACCCAAATCAAAGGAGACTCAAAATTTAAACCTAAAAATCTAACGTAAAAAATTTGCTCACGCCGCTTCAACTTTGTGTTCGCCGGTGGACCCCCACTCTCTCTCTCTCGTTTTGTCACAAACGCAGTACATATAGAAATCTATATACACATCTAAATAGGAATCTATGTACTTTCAAAATATAGATATCTATATAATAAAGTAGAACGATTTTGAATTTTAAAGACAAAGAGCGGCCCAGATCGTTTCGTAACTAAAAAAAATCATTATCCAATGGACTGTCTTATCTCAAACTGTCTCAAGTTATTGACGTCTCAGATCGTTTTAATCTGACGTACTACATTAACTCTTTTGAAATATTTTTGTTGCTCAAAATTTATATTTTTCAAAATTGATATTCCATAATTTAATTCCCTTAAATCTTTTTCTTAAATCAAGCAAATCTCTCTCTCTCTCTCTCTCTCATTTCTCTGTATTTTTCTTTCACGCTCAATTCAAGCAAAAAGAATCAATTTTTCACAATATTTTTTTTCTATATCTCTCTCTGTATCTCACAAAAATATCATGAAAATATTATAGTGCCTAATTCAAACAAATATTATATCTCTCTGTAGATAAATAATATATATCACAGAGAGAGATAGTATATTACGAAAATATTCCTTTATATCTCTCTCTAAAAGAAAATTATGTAATAAATATTAGATAGATAGTATATTACGAAAATATTCCTCTGTATCTCTCTCTTTCATTCAAGCAATACTACAAACACGAATCATATAAATTCAATAGCCAATTTTATTTTTTTCCATAATCAATAAAAAAAATATAACTTGTAAAAAATCTAATTTAACAAAGAAAATATGCTTAACATGTAAAATATACAAGATTAAATTCATATATAAACATGAATCATACAAATTCAATATTTAATGAGCAAAACAAAACATCAATATTTACTAAATAATCTAAATTTAAATACCCGAGAAAAATGATACAAAATTACAAGTAGAGAAACGATACAAAATTATAAGCAATACTATGAACACGAATCATACAAATTCAATATTTAGTGAACAATACGAAACAACAATCTTTACTAAATAATCCAATACTAAATAACGTTTAGTTTAAGAAAATATACTAAGAATATAAATAACCAAGAAGAATGATATAAAATTAAAATCACTACTATAAACTCAAATTATACAAATTCAATAGTCAATTTTATTTTTTCCATAATCAATAAAAAAAACCATAACTTACAAAAAATCTAATTTAACAAAGAAAATATGATTAACATGTAAAATATACGAGATTAAACTCAACTTATTGGGCAACTTAGATATCAAGAAATATATTAAAGAAAATATGTTTAACATTTGAAATATACAAGATTAAATTCATATACAAACACAAATCATACAAATTCAATATTTAGTGAACAACACAAAACAACAATATTTACTAAATAATCAAAATCTAAATATCCGAGAAAAATGATACAAAATTACAAGCGAGAGAAACGATACAAAATTATAAACAATACTATGAATACGAATCATACAAATTTAATATTTAGTGAACAACACAAAACAACAATCTTTACTAAATAATCCAATATTAAATAACATTTAGTTTAAGAAAATATACTAAGAATATAAATAACCAGGAAGAATAATATAAATTTAAAAACACTACTATAAACTCGAATCTTACACATTCAACAATCAGGTCGTATCTTTTGAAAGTCGGTTGAATTTTTTATAGTTATATTTGGTCATTTGACAACATCTGCAGACTTAGTTTATTTGTGAGAGTATTGTTTTAATTTTCATTTTATTAGTTATCAATTCTGTTATTATTTAGATAAAATTGATTATAAATATTAAAATCGTGGATTTTGAATTAAAAACAGAACATTGAATTTTGTCAATTAATATAATTTTTCAGATGTTTGAATTATTATGGTTCTGTAGTTATAATATAATTTTCGTGGCGTAACAATTAACATAATTTTGCATGTAGGTTGATGTTATAAAAAATATTAGCGGATTTATTTTATTCGTCGTTTATTACAATATTGTATTTTATTTTACATTTATGTATGAACAAATATTTGTAACTAATTTATGAGTAACATCGTGCCTTTAGACACGGGGAATTGCTATATATACATATTTTGTGTAAAAAAAGAGTTATTGGGATAACATGAGAATTTTTTAAAAAAGTTTGAGTACAAAAAAAGTTTGTAAATTGGAAAAGTCTATATCAAATCAAGTTTTTTTACATAAATTCAGGTAAGGGTTTGAAAAAAGACAAGGATAGTCTGAGGTCAACAAATTAAATAAATAAATTAGGTTCAAATAGCATTGCTCATTATAATTTGTGCAAAATATAGTAATGCTTCCTTTTTGTCATTGTGGTCCTCATTCTTTGCATTGTGTCATTGTGGTCCTCAGCTCTATTTGCATTCAGTTGTTTTTCTCCTCCTATTTCTAGGTTTTTTTTACGATTAACCAAGAATCCAAATTTCCTCCATTGCAAGTTCATTCAATTTCACTCAATAATTGAATGAAAGTGTATTGAAGAGTATCTTAATACATCAACCTGTGACATAGACGTCGAACGAAGACCAACCGATCTTCAGGGATCATTCAATGAAGAATTCATTTAAAAATTACAATTTTTCATATATTAATAGATGCAAATGATATTGTAGGGATCATTCAGTGAAGCAAAAGTAGACTCCTTCAACTTACCTTTATATTTTCCACCCATTGAGGAATTGGAGGCATCGATAGAGGCAAACACAAGCTTCAGCATAGAGAGAATGGAGATCCTGAACAACCCTCCGAAACATGTCGCCATGCCTAGTGTCAGACATCGCACACTGTTCTTCAGGGCTTGCTTCGAGGGACTTTTGGAGAATCATTTCGGAAGTCATATCATGGATGAACTGTTCGAACGTTATTCCAAGAAAGTTGCCCAGTCTTCCTTCACCATGAATCCAGACAATGATAAATCCATTTTTATGTTAGTCCTCCTTAAGCGTAAAAGCGAGTCCTCACAGAATGATTCACCCTAGTGATCATAAGGGTCGGTTTTAAAATGTTTATTTAAGGGTTAATAATACTTTTGGTCTTTAACGTATGTATTTTTTTTTAGTTTAGTTTTCATTGTATCAATTTTATCTTTAAAGTGACACAAATTAAACACTTCAAGGACAAAGTTGATAAAATTGATACAATAAGAATTAAAATAACAAAAAATAGATATTTTAGGGATCAAAAATAATATTAACTCTTTATATAACTTCAAGTTGTCTCATTTTAGTTTCTCAGACTATGTAAGACGTAGTAATCAACTCCTGTTCTATTTAAATGTGAAATCATTGTGCTGTGCATGAACAACTTAGGATTGGTTGATATTTTTCATGATAGTATCATGAGGTATATATCACTCACAAAATATTAAATATACTCAATTAATAATTGTCACCTATTCTTGTCAGAATTTCTTTTCAAAAGGCCAACTTGTATGTCTTACAAGCTGTTTTTTTGGCAACCTCTCATTGGATGTCCACACCACATGATAGTAGTGACAAAAACCCATACAAAATTTTATCCACTCTTAGGATCAAGCTACAAAAATTTGAGGCATGTAGGATCAATCCTAACATCTGATATGTAATGTATGAAATGCGTTATTCGAAATGAAAGGCATCATTTCAAATGACATTTTGAACGATGATAGTGTCATTTGGAACAACATCTTCTAAAAATGACTAGGTTTGGAAAATAAGTTTGAAAATAGTTGATTTTAAAAAATAATTTAGGGTAGGCATGGCTTTGGTGAATAACTCCAATTATTTGGAGAAACACAAGCTTCAACATTGAGAGAATTGAGAGAGTTAAGCACATAAGAAAATGGATCCATATCCTCGCCATTATTTCTTTCCTTCAATTTCACTCAATACACGACTAGATAAATGACATGTGCCTAAATTTAATTCAACATACAAGATTTCTATAAAACAACCACACTGCTTAAACTATACTATTGGAAAACACACAGTAAACAAATTCTTTCTAATTAAGAGCACAACGACAACCTTCTTGTTCGATTTCATCACAATCCTACAAAACAAAATTGTCAAAAAAAAATAAGATTACTACAGATATCGTTGATGGTAGACAAATTAAATGTTGAAGAAGGGGATCTATAAAGATCAGTTGGAGAGAGGTCGAGCATTAAAACTTACAGATCTATGCCCTAGCAAATGGATTATAATAGATCATCGATGATAGCAAGGTCGCTGGCAAAGAGGTTGAAGAAGACGATCTCTGAAGAAGACGATAGTCTGACCATCTGAGTGACAAATGTTGTGGATGAATTGTAAAGCAGTCGATGGCTTAGGGTAAATAAAGATGAGGGAAAGACGTAATCTCAACTGATCAACTTTTACCTAGGAAAGAATTTCGCCAGTGAATCCAAAATAATTTTTTTTTTCAATTTTACTAACAAATTATTTTGTCGACAAAACTAACAAAATTTTCAAAAAAAAATTAAAATTATTTTATTTTATTAGCAATGAAATTTTCCTTGGTAAAATTAAAATATTTTTCCTAGTGGGCAAGTACATAATTACAATTTAGCACACATAATCATGATAATATGTATGCAATGCATAATCGGGTCTCACATCTATCTCTACAGCTCTCTACACACATATAATTTTTGTCTCTCCTAATTATTGTACCTCCCGAAGTTAACCATTGCTCTCTTCCCCGACCACCGTGCCATTTTTTAAAGTGGAGTAAGTCACGTGGACCGAATTACTATATATATGTGTGTTGACTCAATATTTATATTACTGTCATTAATTGCTTTATTTACTGTGAATTATTTATACTCTGTCACACACTCGACTGTTTATCTTGCACAAGACTATTTTGTGCATCATTAGTGTATATGTGATTGTGTGAATATATTTATTTAATGTTACTTATTTTAATTGTATATTTATAAAAACACAATAACGGACAAGATTAGTATAATTTTTATCTAATGTTATCTAACGATACAAAAATCCATTCAAAAAACAATTGCCCAAAAACATCTTTGTTGGACAACCTCAACGCTAAATAACAAATATTGATTGATTGTATTTTTGTCAATTCAATTTTAATACTATGGAATAATTTTCTAATTAAACAACCGATTAGATTAAATAAATATTATCTAACGTTTATGTTGCGTATTGTCAAATATTAGATAAAATTACGTATTATCTAAGACTGGATTATTTTATCTAATTTATCTATTTTTAATATGCAATCAAACGAGCCCTTATTATATAATATACAAATAAAATAAAATAAAAATTACACGTACAACATTCTCACTGATTGAATAAAAGAAGTGGACCCTATAATTGTTTTGCATGAAACGAGTGATCCAACTATTTTATACCAATCGCAAATAAGACACGCATAGAGTTTCTATATTTTTGCTTTTTTATTTTATTTTATTATTTTCACAATCAATCATAAATAAATCAAAACGAAATCTACGGCTCGTAAAGATTTGATTTTTAGTATCATCCAGTAGCTAATAATTGAAGGTTAGAGTGTCCTTCTCAAAATTATTGTCCTTCTCGACAATTTTTTGGTTGTGTCAAGTCTAAGACAATTAATTTGGGTGCAACGATCTTCGCACCCACACCATGTACAAAGGGTATATATATTTATAATTTTTAGGTTCAATATGCTAATCTAATGATGTATCAAGTAATACATGTTTATAAAAATTTCAACAACAATAACTACAAATTTTACTATTAAACTATGTCAACTATCGTATCATTGTATCCAAAATTCAAATCAAATGTTTAGATCCGAATAGCCTCAACTCGATGAATAATACCCGTACAAGAACATGATTATAATCAATACACACTATAAAAAGTTCAAAATTTATGATGTGGCACAGTTATGATTGTCAGATTTCTATTAGTTGTAAAAAGAACTGGCTAATTGTTTGGACATAAGAAAATTATCTGTCAATGGAGATATTTACGTAGATTTTGAGCAACATTAATTTAATAATCCATGTTAATTTGGTGTAAGAAATTTGATAAAAGAATAATTTGACTGATTATAGTATTACACAACAGTAACGCCTAGAAAGAGAACAAATCAATCCTTGTCAATTGAGAGTCAGTGGCGGGCCTTATGGACTCTGAATTGAGGGTTTTTTTTTTAATTTTTTTTCGTCTGTTGATTAGATAGTTTTTTGAGTTGAAACACACTTATTTATAGAGCAATGTGGATGCCTCAACTCCAACACATTAAAAACATGTACTCTTTTGCTTCCATTTCTTCCTTTCCTTCTCTCCCTCCTACTTCCCTTGCCATCGGCCGCCATGTCTTGCCATTCCGGTGGAGGAACATGGCATTGCTCGCTATACCATGTACATGGGCCAAGACAATCAAGATTGAGCCACCCACATCATGTGATTGGTGTAGAGTGGTGTGATCTCCTATCACCACACGCCAATACATCATTAGGACAATCCATTCGTGTCAGTATCAATATTGACCAAGACCTTAAACCATGCATGGAAGATGAAAGAACAATCAAATTGCCTAAATCGCATGCCATGAATGGAGGAGATGAAAATTATAGTTATGGTCAAAACTCATCTTATCAGGTAATATTTGTTTTTTATTTTAATTTTCACTATAATTATCTCTCATTCGAAAGGGTGGGGTGGAATAGGGAGTGCAAGTTTGCATAGGCCCCAAGTAAGTACTAACCAATTAGTTGCAGCGGTATGGTACAAGGCAATCGGGACAAAAAAAATGATAGACAGAATAAAATATTGAGACATAGAATGAAATTCAAAAATCATAAAACTGTATCCGAACGAGTTATGATGGCATAGATGACTCAGCCATCTACAACGTCTTGAGTCAAGCACGAATCTCACTTGACCTATAATTTAGACCGAAAATATTGTAAAACGTAACATATTCAGTCCAATACAACTAGATATCCACAAGTGATAGACATGCACTTAATGTATGCTTACTAACAACCAGGATTGACTTTGTGGGACGGCTCAGG